CTCTTTCTATCTCTCTCTCTCTTTCTTTCTTTCTCTTTCTTTCTCTCTCTCTCTTTATCTCTCTCCTTCTCTCTTTCTCTCTCCCTCTCTCTTTCTCTCTCTCACTCTCTTTCTCTCTATCTCCCTCTCTTTCTCTCTCTCTCTCTCTTTCTCGTCTGCCTCGGTAAAGAGGCTACATGTTGAGCTGCACGTATTTAATCATATGAGACGTGTGTGTCTATGGAAATGAGGCCATTAGAAAGGCGATTCTGGAAACTAGCATGATTGTGTATGCACCTGTCGACCTTAGATAGCCCCTGTGGTGTAGCAGCTAGACGCTAGCCTGCGGATCCGAAAATCGTGGGTTCAGGTTCTGGTGAAGCCTGACTGTTTTCAAACATGACCTTGGTTCCCGTGTCGATCCAGTCTTAAATGTGCACTAGGTAAAGTCATGGGAAGTAAAGGTTGACCGATTGGTCTATAAAATCTGATCCTGTATACCCAAAATGCATGAAGGCGTGGAAAATGTTCTTTTAATTTAGTCAATAAGCTCTTTCAGTCTCAAGCAGGGATTATTTTATCTGGGTCCCCCCCCCCCCCCCCTTTAAGACTAATATCATAATAGAAAGAAAAAATAATCCGGTGTGAATTTGAACTCAATCTGTTCGGGTTTGGTGGTAATCTAGTCCAAGAGGTGTACCTCATGTGTTAGGGGAGCAACATGTCTCAGCATTCGACTGTTTTTATGTCAAAGCAAATCTCCCCTTCGGGAAAATAGAAGACAGCAGGAAGGGCATAATGGCTTTGATACTGAACATGTTGAAACTTAAAAAAAAAACTACCAAAAACAAAATAGTTTTACTGCATGATGCATGTCTGTAGTATACAAACAAGTGATCCTGGCACGGAACTCGGTAATTGTGCTTAAACTCTCTGTGGGAGTTAATTAAAGCAATTATAGAGGTACGCATCCCTAAAAAAAGGGCTTCCTAACGAAAAACCAGGAAACAACTTTTGTGTGGCTCACTTAGCCCTGGATGCAGATATTAAAATAACAGTCGTCACAGACATCGACAGTATATGCAAGAATGCCAAGCCCATGAATGAAAATGTTAGTAAGATCAACGAATTACTCTTTGCAGATGACCAGGCCTTGATACCAGATACAGCCATAAAATTGCAACAACATCTAACATCCATGAATGAAGAATGTAAAGCAAATAATAAGTGAAATGGTTTGCCCACTTAGAGAGAATGCTTTGTGACACCATACCATACAAAGCATACATGGAAAGAGAAGAAGGAGTAGAGCACGAGGTAGACCAAGAACAATATGGAAGGATAACATCAGAGAAACTCTACAACAGCACGATGTGCCTATGGTCGAGGCGGCCAGAAGAGCTAGAGGCAGAACCTTATATCTCCCTCGACACCCACAGCGGCAAAGAGGAAGTGAAGAAGAAGAAGAAGAAGAATAGACAGCTTTCTGGTATAGATGCAAAACATACACTTTTTCTTTTTCATCATTCCGAACCCTTGAGGTGCATTGCAACAGATATTGTCCGCCTACATTTATCTCTCTTGTTGGCCTTCTCTTTTCAGCTGCTGACAACAAGTGATTGCAGGTCTGCTTGGACATTATCTCTCCATCGTGCAAAATATACACACAAATACAAAAATATGTCACTTACTGTGATAAAAATAGTGTTCATGTGCTATATATAGCCTATGTTTGCATCTTAAACACGGACAATAAGCAGACGCGCTGACAAATATAGGACATCGTAAATATTGATTCTGAGACAAATACAATCATGAAATGACAGAGACAAAAGCATTCATTCAAGAGACATGTGAAAAACCCTAACTTAGAAATATTAGGTGTCGATCTTGAACATTTTTGAGCATGTTAGGGGAAGGAATACAGAAGAAAATTCGTCACAACATAATGGAATCAGAACCATGATCAAACAATGATTTAAATACCAGGATTAGTTTGTGAACTGACGTCCACAGAACACAATTCGGGTTTGTACTCTCGCTCATCGTGCCATTGTACGAACCATGACTGTCTACACTTATCGGTAAAACACATACTGATGATTGACACACACCACACTTTTAATCAGTGACCTTCTGCTAATGAAAACATGATTATTGTATGCCTATATGACTACAGATTGGGTGACTATCTGCCAGTCGCTGTGCCTCGTGTCCCTGATTGTGTGTGTCATCGCTATTGTGGTAGCCTCGATAGGTCTCCGAACAGCAAACTTCCAGGCCAAGTACAGACTCTACTGGGGTGGCCTTGTCTGCTTCTTCATTGCTGGTGAGTGTGTCCGATTCTTTGTTCATAACACTTTGTTGGGTACTTTATATTTAATTCGCCACAAATAAATCAAATCAGGGGTTCCCGGGGGAAGTGCAATATTCTAAGCGTGCTAAGGTCGGAGTTATGGTTCGGGTTATAGTTAGGAGAAGGGTTAGTCAGTCTCTGGGGCGGCCAAGGCTGACAAAGATGCTAACTCTAATCTTAACCCCAACCTGTCACACCCCTAGAATACTGGACTTTCTCACAAACACTTTATTTGGGTGAATTTAAAACAAAGTGCCCTTTGTTGTTAGTCAGCTAAAGTATAGCAAGGTGTAGCACCGCGTTAGGTAACTTTTAAGATACCCAGACATACACAGCATACATGACCAAGATACGCACACATACAAGGTTATGTAGGTAGATAGGTGCGGTGCTGGAAAAATTCGTCACGTTCACCCAGCATTTATGAAAGGGAAGCTTTAGGTTATAATTGTGATTAGTTTGTGTGTGCCATATAAAATGGTTTAGCAATGCTCGCCACCAAGAGCTCTGAAAAGGACTTCTCAATGTTGATGCGATGAAAGGAGAGGAACCCAAATACTGTCCCTGACGGCGACGAAGTTGTCTAACGGCGAGCCAATGGATGACTCGGTCACCCATAATGAAGCCCCTGCGGCCTTTCTCTACCCTTTTTCTTACCCGCACAGGAGGACTACATGTTACACCGAGCCGGTGAGGCCGCTACATGTGCACTAATTATGACTTCTGAGGTTTAAAAGGAGCTAATCCCCTTCCGTTTTCTTTTTATGTCTCCTCCCCTGGCCGCTTCTCTTCAGAGATCCCGAGTAGGTAGCGTAATTTGGATATGCTCTTCGTGAATTTCGGTGTATTTGAAAACGAGCACACACATAGACTGGTCGGTTCTGCACCACTTGGTGTTGAATTGATGTGTGACAAACTAGATATTGTTAGGGTCCGTTTGGGTGCGAGTAACAGTGTGGAAACACAAATAGACCAATATGGTCTTACATGAATGGCGCTGCAAGGAGTTACTAGGGGATCTGGCCAACCTTCAACAGTTAAGGGAGAGGCGAGATAGATATATAATCAGACAGTTACTGGTACCATCGGAACTTGAACACTTCGTTTGCTGCTGAAGATAGGGACGGCAGTATCCTGGAGTTGTTATGTCGATGCCTAATTTAACCTTGAACATTATCCTGGTCTTCATTGTATTCAGCATGCGTTTATCCTGTTCTTTCAACTTATCATGTTTCTACCAATAATATATGTGCTAGCATACGTATCCATTGTTTTAAATTGTATTCTTCAGCTTTGATAGAGATCATTTCCTTGGTCATCTTTCCCATCAAGTTTTTGGATGAGATTGAAAATAGGGAGCAGGCCCATTGGAGGTAAGGCGTTATCATTGGTTTTTCCATATAGTTCTTTCTCTAGATGACTTTTTTTCTGGCAGCACGCAACGGTATGCAGCACCGACACTTTTCTTAAGCATCGTTTTGTTTTCAGTGCGACTGTAATGTACACTTTGTGGTGAGTACTGGCACCTTTTTTCATACACTTTGTAGGGTGTACCGGTATCTTTTATTTTTGGGGGAAAAGTCCTGTTTCTCTACACCTGTTTAGTTTATATATATATATATATATATATATATATATATATATATATATATATATATATATATATATATATATATATATATGCACACACACACACGCATACACAAGGCTCTTCTTCTTTTTCTTCTTCTTCTTCTTATTATTATTATTATAATATTATTATTATTATTATTATTATTATTCTAGTCGCCATCATCATCTTAGCACCCGATAGATATTTTCTCCAGATATGCCTGTGTGTTGAGAATTGAACAGTCAGATAGACTGGCTGATTGTGCGCTACTTGACGGTGAACTGGTGCATGACAAGCTGGGTGTTTCACGAGTTTAGGAGGAACGAGTGAACAGTGCGGAGGCACAAATACATTATTACTGCCTGAGGAGAATGGTGCTTGCCTGGAGAGACAAGGCAGTCTGGCCGATACTCAACGCTCAAGTTAAGGGAAAGGTCTGAAAATAGATATACAATCAGAATGTCACAGGCACCATTACAATTTAAACTTTGTGCTTGCTGCTGAAGATGGAGACAGAGCGCTTATGGAAAGGTCCTAAGTACTATTATATCTGATGTTAACTCATAACTAATTTTGACTCTATCGGGATAGCAATTTGTTAGAGAATTTGGGTCAGTTGATAGGTGATGTTGTTGGCTTGTTGGATTTCTGTCTCTCTGTCTATTCTGCCATCGGGGCACAAAATAAAAATCCAAACCTAAACAGTTTGTGGCGGCTGCAGTAGCCATCCAGCCCTAAATTCTTAGGCTCGAGTACCTATTGTCTTACGCAGCTCTAAAAAAAGATAAATACGGACAGTAAAGATGATGTGTGTTTTAATGTATCGTCTTCTCTGAATCTAAAATGATATGATTCTGTGTCTGCAGTTTTGGATGGGCCTACATTGTGGGATGGGTTGGCGCCGTGACAGAGTTCATTGCTGGACTACTGCTGTTGCTAGACAGAGGTGCGGAGGAGATCGTCTACAAAGAGAATGTGATTCAGGAGGAGAGCAAAAACGGCATTGAAGCTGGAGGCAACAAGGAAGCGGTCGAGGCTAACACAAGTGTCTAAGACAGTGTTCGTGCTTGTAACTGTGCTCGCTTTCAAAAATTGGCAGTAACCTCAAGCAGCCGAGGTGTATTAATACATTAGCTGTGCTAACTGAAGGTTGTAGAGTGTGATTAGAACAAATCCGTGGGATATCAGGAGTCAACAAAGAGTGAAGAATATCGACTGCTAGACAATCAAATCCAACGAAGCAATAACATTGAGAAGACGACAAAACTTCACCCTCCTTGCTGCTGATTACATGGAATGAACAGTGTCTTCATAAAGAAGAAACTGCAGCTCGACTTTTATTATCAATAAATGGGTGTATACTCATAAGTAAGAGTCACGGTAGAATAGTTCTCCCCCCCCCCCCTACCCCCAGGTGAACATCTTACTAAAAAAGTTTTACTTCAGTATAGACTGATGTAGAAAAAAAAACCGACAGTTTTCTTATTTTCTGTTTGAGGTGGGCAAAATGCTAAGATTTTGTTATCACAAATGTTGTTACTGGACATTGCACATTCTTATGCTCCCTCCGATACAGTGGCCGTCCAATGCTATCTTATAATTCAAACAACTAGGATTGACTGACAGCCGCTATAGTCTAGGGCTCAATTCCTCATCAAAGCGGAATTGTTAAATTTTTTGTCCAACAAATGTTCTTGGCACTCAGGTCGCTGTAGCTACATTACAGACAAGGTTATATACCAAGGGAGTTTAGATGGTAAGCGTGATGTCTACCACGTCGCACCCCCCCCCCACACTCCCTAATCGAGTGCCAGCTGGTCTACACAAATATAGGTTAGCACTAAATGAAGGCGTAAAATGAGTCCTTGATCTTGCTTTATAATGGACTTTATGGATAGTTGAACAGGTGTTTCAAACCTCATGAAACAGCATCATCGTTAAACTTTACGACTTCGGTCTTTGTAAAACAAACACTGGCTTGCACTGTCTGCATGAGACTAACAATTTTTATTCTCTTTGCAACGAATATAGACCTGTTTCTGTGTATCATTCGTGTTGCCACTAAGTTCAAAATATATCACATATTTTGTTTCTGGTAAATGGAAGGTCTGGATAACAAGAGACGAGAATACCTGTTAGCACGTCCCATTGTCAGTATCATATAACTCTTTACTGCGTTCGTGGATGTCACACTGTGTTGTGGTTTCAGCCAGACTGTGATATCTGCGCCTTTCAACCCAGAATATCCGATGTCTGCGAATCCGTTTTATTTTTTTAAAGAAGCTGTACCGATCTTACTAACCGCGAATGTGTGTATCTTATTGTTTAGTTTAGATATTGATGTTATCTTTGTCATATACTATATGCAGTTTTAAATATATCAAAACCACACAATAACTCATTTATTTAAACACACTTGGACTTTGTATACAGTATCTGATGTTTATAAACAATGTATTGTTGATCATCATTAGTCTAGCCGACTGGTATGAGCAACCCTACATTTTCAGGTCGTGTCATTCTCACAGCACGTATCGATTGTTTGATGCGACAAAATCTTTCCTAGTCATGAAAAATTCTTATCAACAAGAGTAGCCTTTTTTGTAGTCTCCCTGTCTCTTTCCGACAACCTTTCCAGTGGATATGTGGCTTATCATCACAACACTCTGGACATATTTCTCGGTGCTCCCTTCTCCTCATAGAAAGCTTTATAAGTGTAACACGACTGGTGACGCATCTTCAGTGTTAATTATTCAAAAATCTTGTTCACTTGTGAAATGCTCATTTCTTGCGGCTCCAGGATAGCACCCCTCCCCCCCCCCCTCACCTCGTCCATCAGCCTAGCCATGGATAAGGAGTAAAGCTGTTTGCCGAATTCGTCTTTGAGTAAGCGTCGTACATGGTATTAATATCATTGTTTTTGTCCAGCACCGGACCAGCCATAGCAACAGCAGTGTCTGCAAAATAATCTGCTCGCTCGTTGCCTCGAACATTCGCATAACCTGGCAGAAAGATGAAAGGTTAGAGTAGCCATTCGCGAAGTGTTCAGTGTTACAATTTTTTTTCCCGATGAACTCAGCCTTTATTTTTTGAAGCATATGTATTAGAACACCATGTATGCATGCGTGTGTGAACCTTTGAGTGCCCAGCCTTGCTGATGCCCTTGGTACAGTCAGTTTCTACTGTGAGGCTACCAGCTGTAACAGAAAGGCGCCATTTATCTCCTTGATTTCCTCCCTTGAGCTGTGAATACCCATGAACTTCGCTTGCCCCAAATTACTGATACGTCTATGTAAACTACAGCATCCTCTTCATCTATGCTTTCATTAGTCAGTGTCTATTATGGCAGGAATCTGCTCTCTGAAGCTTCTCTGCAATGTGTTATGAATTGTAATATTAACGTTAATTTCAAAGTTGACGTCTGTAAGGAGGCAAACCTGTTGGATGACATCATTTGTACAGCCCTTCCACAATTAGCCTCTTTTAAAATAAAAAAAAAATAAAAAAAATTCTCATGAAGTGGATGTCGAGGGTCTGAAGTCATCTTGAGAAATACAGCTGCCCTGGATGGCTTGATTTTGTTATCTAAAATTCTGTCTCTCTTTGATGTTTGTGTGTTTGCCTCTTTCTTATGTTTGTCTTAGTGCCTTACCCTCTGTCTGATATTTGTGATAAGATGCCTTTTTTTTGTCTTTGCCTCTTTCTGATGTTTGTCATATCTTGTCTGCGTGTCTTAACCTCACTCTAATGTGTCATTGTATTAGCTTCTGGCAAGAGATTTTGATGTATTATTTGGCTATAAAAAGTATTTCCAAATTCTTCTGCAGAGCCACAACTTTTATGTCCTGATGTATTCATTTTTCTTGTTTATCAGTTGTCCATTATTTATAGCAACATAATAAAATTTGTTCTATGCAATAAGCACATAATTTTTTTTTTTCTTTTTAAACTGCTAAAAACATGCACGCATAACGTTGTATCTACGTAATCCAACGAACCGCGATCGAAACCTGCTTGGGCTGCGTGGATTTTTATCGTGGTATGGGACATCGCAGGTCGACCCAGCCTCAAATGGGTACCAGGATGGGCTGTCCTGGGAAAGGAAAGACGGCCGGCGTAATGCTGACCACATTACCCACCTAGTGCCGATTGGTCTGTAAAAATATGGGTGCTCTTCCCATATGCCCGATGCGCCTAAGGGAGTGTAAAGGGATCTTTACTTTTTTTACTTTATAACGTTGGATGAGTGGCGTTCAGAAAACAATGTCCCTTGTACCTCTTCTCAGCAAATAATGAAGACATGAATATGTTATTTCGTACACTTCCGAGTTGAAATACCTGCATTGTTTACAGGACCGTCTTAACGCATGGACCCACTGGGCACTTGTCTGGGACCCACAGGAGCATAGGCGCCCCTGCTAATCTGTGTATGTGCGATGTTTCTCTTCTATCTTTATCTGGCTCGCATCATCGCAACGCTCACGTACCGACATCACATGACGAGCAGAAAATGGAAGATTGGAACAACAACACGATACTGTTCAGTACTTTAATTTCCTGCTCGCGGCTTACTCAGCCGGCACATGAAAACAGACTATATTCCAGGCACACATGATCATTGGAATAATAAATGCTAGACTTTCATTACCTTCTGTCAGAAATCACAATCTTCCTACACTACGAAACACACAGCTGTTGTAACAGAAATAACCAACATGCCCGCACACAGTTTGTCTGCCAGCTTCTCCGCCAAGTTGGATAGGAACACATCCGCTCAACACACGTAGACTACACACGTCTTCCTGTCCATGCGCACTGGTTCCTGGATCCAAACGAGACTGCCTCTCAGTCCTTTCTCCGCTATTATATAGCTCTCTAATCTCTGTCATGTTCTTCTCGAATATTCTGTATAACTTCATTCTCACGAATTCCCCGCCGCTGAAAATCGTGTCTGGCCCATGATTTTTCGCATTTCACACGAAGCCTGCCAGTCAACCTTCATGGTTCACGTGAACAATCATGTTTCACATAAAACCTGACTTTCAAATGTCTCCCATGAAACTCAAGACACAAATCTCGTGTTATCCCAGTCAGTCAAAACATTCCCCTTACATTTATTACTGACGTCATCTGTCGGGCATAAATTAATTGAGAGAAAATGACTCACTAAACTCTCCCCCCCCCCCCAAAAAAAAATGTTTTACCTTTTCAATCAATCAGGTGTGAACATTCCACTGAATATGGTGATTCTAGACCTTTGTAGTGAATCATTTTCGACAAGTTCATTTCCAAACAAGTTCCCTTTACCTCATTGGGTTAACAATTCAACAATGTAAAATGCCATCTGTTGGGTCTTTCCACGACTGTGAATACCTTAATGGGATCCTCACTCCAGGCACTCCCCTTTTAGTGCGGAAGACCAATAATCTGGCTCCATAGGTATCCCCACCCAGTTCTAAAGTCGGTATACAACCGAACCCCTCTCCAGGCACCCCCCGTTTGTTGCGGAAGTCCAAACTCTTGGCTCTAAAACCGAAGTGTGACCCCATGAAGTCCCACCCTCGCTATTCCCATTCATGAAAGCAACCAACAATGGCTAAATCAGCAATGTATGGTCTGTCCCCAATATGTAAAGTACAAGATTTAGTTAATTACCTTGTCTTCCGAAACTACAACATGTCTCATTAACAGATATATTCACATTAAATGTTACACCAATTCAATTTAGTATACTAGTAACTGTAACATACTTTCTGGTGAGGTGTATTTTGACCCTTAATGTTGTCTCACTTTAATTCTAATTATTTACTATATTATACCCGTTCAAATCAAAACATATACATTTTTCCAAGTTGTAATTTCATATAATACATTCATTCAATAATACAATGTATTCATTCATTCATTTAGTAGCATGTCCCTCGCGGAGCCTCGCAGCCATAACAACTCTCCGGAAAACCTTCCTATCCTGAGCAAGATGTCCTGCGTCTGATACACCCATCTGGAGATCATCTGCCACATCCTGCACCCATCTTCTCCTTGGCCTTCCTCTT